CGACTTACAGACTGACAGCCGAAATTCATGGTGTAAGTATTCTCTTTCCTTGAGTATCTTTTCAGTGAACATTAAAAAGTACAACCCAAGTTTTGTATGACCAGCCAAAAAAAGTATTCCATTTCAAGGTCTGGAAGTAGGATTTATAAAGCATTTTTTCAGACTTTCACCTTAAAAAAAAACAAAACAAAACAACAAAAAACTATCACATGGGATGAATAAGCAGACTGGTTAGACAGTTTTGTAGATCTTCTTGGTGCTGAACTATGACATGAGCCTTATAGATTGTAAAATAGAGATAGTTGGAACTAATGTACAGAACTAAATTTTTTAAACTTTATTTGCTGTTAAATTCTGTGAAGTTTCAGTTATCTAAAATAAACTTAACACGAATACGAACTGTAATGTTCAGATTGCAAGTAATACGTAATGTAGTGTTTGTAAAATACTCTTGTCTAATATTAACTAGTGGTATTTTGATTTGTACAGTCATAATTTGTTAAAATGACTTCATTTTAACATCCACTGATGTAGATTAATAATGTAAGTTCACATTTAAAGATTAATGGGGAAATGGTGCATGTAATACTTTCACAAGTATTGGGAGTTTGGTATGTTTTGAAAAGAGTAATTTAACTTTTGGGTGTCAGGAAATGGGTTTTTCTCAAAGTCCATTGCCGGCAATGGGCAAACCTAGTAATATTGGCACAGAGCGTTAACTGTACACCTTATTAACAGTGAGGTGAATAACTTTGAATAAAGTTTTAGAGAAATATTTCAGATATTTGTGTGTTCTTTTTCCCTCCTCAACTAACAGTTTAGGCAAGAAATCAGCTAATAGGCTATTTTGTAAATATGGGTGTTTGTTTCATTTCTATTCATTCATTCACCCATTTATCTTTTTTTGTGTGTAAGATTTTATTTCTTTGACAGAGCACAAGCAGGGGAAGTGGGAGAGGGAGAAGCCTGCTCTACGCTGAGCAGGTGGGCTCTGTCCCAGGACCCTGGGATCAGGACCTGAGCTGAAGGCAGCCGCTTAACTGACTGAGCCACCCGGACACCCGTATTCACTCATCATTCAGCAAACATTTGAAAACCTGATATAAGCAAGGCACTCTGGATTAAAAGAATTTTAAGACATATGGTTTTGCCTTCAAGGAGCTATTCATCTAGTATAGAAGAATTTATACCGAGAATTTATTATTCTTACACTTCAGACACAGACATTAGCTCCCAAATCAGGTAGTAAACATGTATAAACTTTGCCATAGGGGTACCTGGGTGGCTCAGTGGGTTGAGCCTCTGCCTTCAGCTCAGGTCATGATCTCGGGGTCCTGGGATCGAGTCCCACATCGGGCTCTCTGCTTGGCGGGGAGCCTGCTTCCTCCTCTCTCTCTGCCTGCCTCTCTGCCTTTTGTGCTCTCTCTCTGTCAAATAAATAAATAAAATGTTTTAAAAAAAGAAAAAAATAAATAAAAATAAACTTTGCCATAAATATTTATGAAGAGAATTACTATGTTTTCCTAAAAGCAACCTAAGATTAAGAGTTACCAATTAAAGATTAAAAGCAAATCTAAGAGTCCATATAGAATGGCCTGTTATCAGCAAGAGCCTCCAACCTAAGAGCCACATGTTTTAAGATTGATTTATTTGAAAGAGAGAATGAGCATGAGCAGGGGAGAGAGAGAGGGAGACTCTCAAGCAGAACCCAACCGAGCTTGGAGCCTGACCGGGGCTCGATCCCATGACCGCATGAGATGTTGACCTGAGTCAAAATCAAGAGTTGGACACTCGTACCCAGCCGAGCCACCTGGGTGCCCTTAAGAGCCCCATGTTGCTGGTGCTCCCAGGGGTTTTAGAGGTTTTGCAGTGGTGGTAAAACTGGACTAATCACCTCTAAGAGCCCTATCCACTCTCAGGATTGTATGAATTAGGAATTAACCCTTATTATCTTCTAGCCCTGTTCGCTCATATCATCATGTCATGTGTAGATTCAATACTTAGTGATAATTTATTTTCTGTCCCTCTGGGTCATTTAGAAAATGGGCTAGTGTTCTTTCTGTAAGGTCATTTTTGCAAATTCTTCCATCCTAATTAATGCTTGTTGGAATTTATGCTCTATTTGGGCACTTAATTTTTTTTGAACATTTTGGCTTTTGTTTTTATGAATACTAATGAGTAAGTTTAAGATTCACAGGAGATAAAACTCACACAGCTGCAAACAGCTACTTTTGATACTCCTGTGACTCAATGGAAACACTTCATGTCATGTCTCCTTGAAATGTCGTGAGAGAAACACTGAAGGGGTCAGTAAAGCACGGAACGTAATAAGATCTTTAAATAATTTAGAGCTAGGTAATCTTGACATAAAAATGAACACTTTCTTTAAAATTTCTAGCCACTACTTTTTTTTTTATTATTACTATGTTCAATTAGCCAACTTAGAGTACATCATCAGCTGAATGGGAAGAAATCTAGCAACTACTTTTAGTTAAACCCTGAGTTCTTCATTTTTTTCCCCTGATTGTTGGTCAAAGTAAATAGTTGACCTATGATTCCTCTCCCCCACAAAAAATTATTATAAAGGTAGTAATTTGATGCTGAAAATTATGGATACCAATCCTCAGGAAGTTTATAGATCATCAGGGCTTCAGCTTTTAATAAGAAACAAGTTTTCATTTTAAATATTTAGAAATAAAAAAGAATTCATCTTTGTCCTAGTTCATCATTGCATCTGCATCTATAGTTAAAAAGAGAATAAAAGTTTTGTTAGACTAATTTTGCAAAAGCGTCCCCGTGCCTCCTTGCCTTCCAGATGCTGTTAAACTAGCACTTCCAACCCATCTTAGCAAACTTTGTTGAACTTTGGGGCCTCATCTCGAGACTTGCTTCCTCCTTGAAGGCTGACTGGACCGCCTTACTCTGCAGTGAGCACATTTCACTCTGTGTGTCACGTTTATTATTCAAATAGGCTTGCAACCTCCTAGGGGATCTGTTCCCTGCCTACTTCAAGTCAGTACCACACTCACCAAGGTTTACATCTACCTGTTTTCATCTATCCTGTCTTCTCCATTCCTTACATGTGCCCAGTTCATTCGTCCAGCCTTAGAGCCTTTGGTTTATGTATCCAAACCCCTAGGCCCCAAATCAGATGCTCTCTGGCCTGCCCTCAGCTCCAGCCACAGGTGTGGCAACTGTTTCCATTCAGTCTTCAACCAGGATCTCAGAGAATACCCAGCACCTTCCTTTGGATTCCTGCTATGTACCTTTCGCTGTACCTTCACTGCGAGACTCCCACAGAACTCACTTGGTATAATTTTCACAGCCTGGAAGTACAGTTCCCATGGAACCACCCTTAACCAATGGTGGACATTTGGCTGGCGGATAAGTGTTTCCTCCTTTCATCCCTTAGGTAGACAGTTCTGAGAAGCATTCCAGAAGGTTCCTCTTGGAAATCCTACAGAATCGACTACCAGTTGCCCATGGCCAATTTGGCAGTGCGTCCCTGCATTGGCTTCCCTCTTTTCTGTGTAACTCCTGCACACCTTTTGCATCCTGGGCTCGTTTCCCAAATACGTGAGTTGCATGTAAGCTTTTGTATCGGGCTTTTTTTATAATCCAGGCAAAGACAATCGGTACCCAGAACATCTCTGTTCTGGATCTGGATCCTCTGTTCGAGGATCTCGAGTGCAGATCCTCGGGATAGGTTGGAGCTGGTTTACTCACCTGTCAAGGCAATCAGCGCCACTGCCATCTGTAGTCGGCAGAATGTTGTAGCCATTCGACACCAGCTCCCCCCGCCCCCAGCCCCGCCATCCCCGAAGATGACTACCTCTGGAACTTGTGACTATGTTACCTTACTTGGTAAAAGCAAATGTGATGAAGGTTAAGGATCTTGAGATGGGACAATTATGCTCCATTGTCTGGCTAGGCCCACCCTAAGCATGTAGGTCCTTAAGAGCAGAGAACTTTTCTGGGCTGTGATCAGAGGGAGATGTGAGTACAGACCGAGGGCCAAAGAGATGCAACACTGCTGGCTTTGCAGAAGGAGGAGGGCGACCATGAGCCAAGGAACGTGGGCAGCCTCTAGAAGCACACACAGCGAGCAAATGGATTCTTCTCTAGATCCTGCAAAAAGGAACCCAGCCCCGATGCCACCTTGGTGTTAGCGCCAGGGAGACCTGATATGGACTTGTTTCTACCTCAGAACTGTCAGTCATTCGCGTTGCTTAAGCAGCGACACTCGTAGTAATTTGTTAACAACAGGACATAAGGGGCTGTTGCTGAGCAGACGCTGACCAGCCCTGGCATGTGGGAACAGCACGATGGCCACCCAGACTCCTGTCTCGGTGCGGGTGGATGAGGGCTGGTGGGCTTTCCCAGCACCCGTGGCGCTTGACCAGCAGGGGCCTGTGAGAAAGACTGTGCGCTTGGCTAGTTTTTATTAACTGCTCGGGAAGCCTGGGGTAAAAATACAGGCCTAGGTCAGCCCCCTCCCACCTCCAGGCCCACTGGGACCGGGGATGAGGAGAGCCTGACCTCCCGAAGCCCAGGGAAAAGTACCGGAAAGAGGCCTGGGGTCTAATCAGGCGGTTGGCTGAGCTGCAGATGGGATGAAACACTGTCCTGACAGTTATCAAAGTCAGAGCCTGAATAGGAACAGATTGGGACACTGGGGCCTAACTTAGGAACAACAGTGTAGATGTACCCGAACACACTGATGTGTTCAGGTGTTCAGACGTGTAAGGCCCCTAACGTGGGGCTGGCAGGAGCAGCTGCCACTATCTCGCACTGTACTTACATGGTTTCTCGTCAGTGCCTTTGTCCAGCCCTGGAACATCCTGCACAGGGGAGCAAGGGCCCAGCCCGTCCCATTGCTCGCTCTTTCCTCCACACCTGGAAGAGTGCCTGGTTAGTGCCTAGGAGGCACTGGTTAAGTATTTCTTGATTACACAAATGAATGACTGCTCGAGGTTAAGAACAAGAGAGCAAATCTAGACTTTGTTGGAAGGGGGGGAAATGCATATTTTAAATTTAAATTTATTTAAAAATTACAAAAATGTCTCCACCCAAGTTGTCCATGAAAAAATTTAAAAGCAGCAACAATGCTCTTGGATAATGACCAGCAGTTTAACGCAATTTATAAAATTGAACAAAACTTAGATGTGTGTCTTATGCCTCTATAGACACGGGACCCTTTCTTTAGGTCCCTTTCTTTAGGGTCCGGCAGCAGCATTATCGGGACGCTTTCCAAAGCCTTCTTCCTTTGGACTCTGTGCAGGACGATCCGGTAGACGCCCGTGATGGAGCTCCGGGCGTCTCTCCCTTGGTTGTTGCGGATGTGCTCTTCCGTAATACCCAAATGTTCTAGAGCGCTTTTGACCTCATTTTCTTCTTCTTTGAGGGTGCCGGTTTCAGACAGATGTTTGGGGTCCAGCTGGAAAGGTTCCAGAGGGGTGGGGTACGGCACCCCCTGCATCCACTCGTTGCTCATGATGGAGTCGAGGCCGTGCCTGTCGGCGGGCACGGGCTGGAGGACCCCGCGGATGAGGCGGAGGCAGGGCGCGGACACGTGCGGGGGCACACTGTACGCGCCCTCCAGGATGCTCTTCTTCAGCTTGGCCACGGTCTCTGCCCGGAAGGGCATGGTGCCGGTCACCATGAAGTACAGCAGCACCCCCAGCGCCCAGATGTCCACATAAACGCCCACGTAATGCTCGTCCCGGAAAAGCTCGGGCGCGGCGTAGGGGGGCGACCCGCAGAAGGTGTTGAGCATTTCGCCTTTTTTACTTACGGTGCTGAATCCAAAGTCACCCACCTTCACGCAGGTATTATTGGCATAAAATACGTTTTCTGCCTTCAGGTCTCTATGAATAATTTGGTTCTCGTGCTGTGGAAGAAGACATGGGGAGAAGTCATCGTTTTCAAGGTAGAATACCAACACGAAAATAATAAAGGCGTCAGTTGCTCTGATGTTTCACTGTTGTGAAGTGATGATGGGGTAATAACAGCAGTTCCACGGATGTCAACTTAACTCAGACCTGTGAAATCCCCCACCCCCCACCCGCCTGCCCTGTCCTGACGCTTAGCAAACATGACACCCCCTCGAACACACCAAAGCTTCTGTTCTTCCATGGGACAATGGCAGGAGTCTGTCCCACACATGGGACTTGGGAATTAGTGCCAGAAATGAGGCCTGGATCTTTCAAAACTGCATGTTCTGAAACACAGTGAAACTAATCATTCCTATTTGAGGCCATAAATTTTTTTTTTTTCCTGGCTGAGCCGTCTCTTGACGAGGGCCAACACCAAGACGGTTCAGAACCCTTCCCCAACTTTTCAACCATGCATCTTTGTGGGGGGTCGGGGGGGGCTCCTTTGTCTTTATAGAATTCAGTAGAAAGAAAGAAAGGCTATATTTGGCAAGGTTCTAGCAGCAGGTCCCGCTGTGGGTGGCAAGCACATGCCCCACCCCCACTCTCATGTTCTGGATCCAGACAGACAACCTTGGGACCCCTGACATCCTTAGTCCCCAGGGCTCTTGGGAGTTGGTTTAATGTTACTTTGCTGGGCTTCCTGGGGTAAGAATCCAGGCTTTGGAGCCTGGTGGCTTGGTTAATTCTGGGTTCAACAATACAGGCTGTGTAATATGTTTTTTTCTCTGTAAAGTGAGACAGCGACAGCCACCTGCACGAGTGCTGCATCTGAGGTGCTCAGCAAGGTCCTGGCACGGGGTCAACACACTCAGCGGAACCCGGATCTACATCCATGATCCTCCCTTCCTCTCTTCAGAAACCAGGCAGCTGGGAGAAATGTCAGGGCACAGAGCTACAGGGGACTCAGCCTGATTCTCTTTAGCTCTCCCACCCAATTTCCTTTCTATGGAGGATGTAGAAGACTCTTCCCATCTGTTCTGTTGTTTGATGTGTGTCCTGCCCACTCCCTGGGCCTGGGAAATTTCACGGCAGCACAGGGCCACTCGAATGCCACCCGTGGCACTGCGAGTCTGAAACACCCACCGCCATTACAGTCGGGCTCTTCTCTCTTGCTCGTTTTTTCCCCTCCCCTTCTCTCTCCTGATGCCTGTCTTGGGGCTCCAGGTCACTAATTTCCCTCTAGTGATTGGTTCAGGAAGTCTCTGGTCCCAGCCTCACCCCACGGAGCCCAGTCAGAGGAATGAACTCGAAACAGGTTCTCAGCTCACACAGTCCCCAGACAAGTGTTTCTTTTCTACCATCTGGGTAAAGAGGACAGCTCAGACTTGTGGACTAACGGAGCCATGGAGGTGGTGGTCAGGCCCGTGCCTCAAGCTCCTCTGTGTGCGCACAATACGGCCAATGGTGGAGAGGGCAAGTGAGAACCAGCTCTTGGAGGAGCTGGGAGGTGTGGTTTAGGAGTCCAGATTTACCTAAAGAAATAATCAGGGAACTAAGGTAAGAATAGTATCACCAAATGTTAATTGGAAGAGCATGGAGGCAGCCAGAGCTGGAGGAACTCACCAAAGGCAGGAAGGATCTGCATGAGCTGATGTGAGATTGAAGAATATTCCAGAGAGAGGGAAAGCTGAGCAGAGACATGAAGGGTGGATGGGATTTGGAATGTGACATGGTTAGAGGGGACAGAGCATCCTACACACCCACAGACATGAAGACAGGGCCAAGCAGCAGAGAGGAGCTGGCTCTCTGGTAGTGGAGTACAGGTGAGAAATGGCGGTGGCCAGGGCCTGATGAGAGTCATCTCGTTCCTGGAAGCGACTCCTGCCAACTGCCCCAAAAGCCAGGAGGCTGCCGTGTAACTGGAGATCCCTGGGTGTTGCTTCAAAGGCGAGTGTGATCTCATCCAGACTTTGGACTCTTACAGATGGGACACCTGCCAGCTCTCCTGGGACTAAAGCCTCCCGGAGGCCCGGCTGGTGGTGAACCAAAGCCCATGCTCCACTGCGGGGAGTGTGGGAGCAAGACTCCTCTCCTCACCCCCACTCACCATGTGCTTCACGGCAGACACAATCTGGGAGAAGATGAGCTTGCTTTCCGGCTCTGAGAGCTTCCCTTCGGTGCTAATTTTTCCAAAGAGTTCCCCACCCCCTGCATATTCCATGACCAAGTGGAGCTTGGACAGGGTCTCCACCACTTCGTACAGACGGATGATGTTGGGATGGTGCAGTTTTTCCATGCTGGAAATTTCACGGGATAGTAGCCTTTGGGTTTTCTGGTCTAGCTTGGTCTTGTCCAGGATCTTAATGGCCACCTTTTCTAGGAGGAAAAAAAAAAAAAGTCAAAGGATGTGCCAGGGTTCATAGGCGCATAGAGATTTTTTGAACAGGGAGGGAGCTAGATTGGCCCCTTTATTTCACTAGACACGGAGGGTGAACGGCTGTTCCCAAGCTCACAGAGCTCTTCAGTGGTGATGACAGCTGTTCTCAAGTTGACATCAGTCCTCGTCCCTTGGGTCAGGGTGAGTCTTCCACACACAGATTTTGATGCCAACTTCTGCCTTCCAAGGAAGTTTCAGTTTGATGATATTTATCTAATTTCCTGGATAAAGTGAAAGATTTTTGCTTAGCCCAGACAGGCCCTCCTGATCAGACCCAACCTATGTCCTCTGCCTCGCCAGGCATCACCCCTGTCCACAGTTACCCCTGCCCCACAGAGAGCTGTAGTCCAACCATTACACAACCGCTTGTTGTTTCTGAAAAGCGACAGCACATCCCAGTCTGGGACCTGTCCCCCATCTGGAACATTTCCTCTATCTGGCTCGCCACTGCTTCCCTGTTCTTTACGCAGGTAAGGCCTGATGAGCCTTGTGGGCCAGCCTCGGAACCAGCCTCTTCCAGGACATTCTGATATCCGTGTGTTCTCTGTATGATAATCTCAGCACACTGGCCTCTACATGTTGATTCCTCCCTCCTACTCCTTCTCTCGTGGCTACATTTTATCTGACTTTGTTCATGCCAGGCACATAACATCACTGTGCAGTCCACACCGGCGCTCAGTATGTGCCGAGTCCCAGGTGGGCACGAGCCAGGATGTGGGATGGGTCGCCAGTCTGATCGTTCCAGACTGTAATTTGCTATTACGTATTGACAGTCCTCAGAATGGCTGCACATTTTGACCTAGCCATTTCACCTTTGACAATTAATCTTTTTTTTTTTTTAAGATTTTATTTATTTGACAGAGAGATCACAAGTAGGCAGAGAGGCAGGCAGATAGAGATGGGGAAGCTGGCTCCCCGCTGAGCAGAGAACCCAACGTGGGGCTCGATCCCAGGACCCTGAGATCATGACCTGAGCTGAAGTCAGAGGCTTAACCCTCTGAGCCACCCAGGTGCCCCGACCTTTGGCAATTAATCTTAAAGAAATCATAATCGTCTGACATGTGTACAAGACTAGACGTGGAAGGAGACTTCTGTGATGTCAGGAACAGCATCCAGCCAGAGAGAGGGTTAAAATGATGTCTGGTTCATATGTCTCTGTAACAGTACACCGAGCAGCTAGCCACATGATGTGGATCCTTATTAAAATGAAGAGATGTTCAATAGAGAACAAGTGAGAAAAAATACAAATACACATTTGCATACATATACACTTATACAAATACAAAATACAAAAATATCTGGCAAGTAATGCACCAAAATGTTTAGAACAGTTATTAATAATGGGATCATGGGTGGTTTTTAAAAAAAATTTTTTTTATGTATCTATATTCTCTAATTTTCCTACAATTAATTTATACGATTAACATAAATTGTGTAATAGAAGTGGTCAATGTTTGAAAATGATGAATGTACTCCAAAGTAAAACAATTCATTTTTTGGTTCGAATTGGACCGGACTTTCTATTAGGTAAGGAAAGAAAGTTCCAGGAAAGTAAAAGAGAAAACAGGATTGCAGGGTCCCACTTGCAAAACAAGTGTTTTGAAGAACTTTGGCACAGTGGTTGTAGGCATGAAAACCGATGCGGCTGGCTTGAAATCGGAGCCCTGCTGGTGCTGAAGGTAGGTTCACTAGGGCTTCTGGAATGGAAAGGGGCAGGGTCCACTGGCGTCTGATGTGACCCCACCCACTCTGGTGGAGGCAATACTGGGGAAGAAGGCGATGAGCCATAAGGGAGAAGAAACCCTTGGGGTTTGCATAACCTCTGCAGGCAGCGAGTCCCAGGGACGGACTCCCACCACTGAGCCCGGAGGGGCATGCCATTGCCCAGCTCGCGGCTTTTCTACCCTTCAGTTTTTAGGAGTAAGATTCACTCGAGCTGCTTCCCAGAAACAGGAGCTTTAGGTTTGGGTAGCTGATAGCTGAGCTGCTGTTGTACGAGCTGGAATAAAGAGCACCATCCTTGAATCTGGCAGATGGCCTGCAGAAGAGCCTGCCCTGCTCTCCCTTGATCCTGACCCCAACGTCTGCGAGGGTGCGCGTCCCCTCTGAGGCTTGGCTGGCAGCCACAGCCGGCCTCCCACACTGTGGGCACCCAATGACCAGGTCATGGAGCGGTCAGGCTGCTGTCACAAGCCTCCCTGGATCACAAGCCTCCCTGGAGCACAATCCTAGTCTTATTTCTGTTCAACGTTTGAGTGGCTGTTGGCAAGGCTGGCGTCCCAGGGTCTGGGCTAGAGTAAGGCAGGAGAGGGACTGTGGGGGCCAGGGGGCGGGGGGCAGGGGGCGGAAAGTGGAGCTTCTTTACACTCCATGCCCTGGGCACCCCGGGGCCTCGTGCTCCTCCCCACCCACTTCCTCCACTGTGTGTTAAATCAGATGCTTGCCATGCTTCATACCATGAAGGGATAATCCTAGAACCCACTGTAGAAGCCTGGGTACTGGGAATGGTCATCAAATGGCAGAAACTGCCCTTCCAGGAAGAGTGAGGTCTCCACGTCCACTCCTCCGGCGGGCGGTCAGCGAGTGCAGCGGAGCACTCATGTGCACCAGGCAATGAAGAAGACACTGTTCCTAGTCCAGTGAGGGGCAAAGACTGAAAAAAGCCCCTATTACAAGTGCAGCCCAAGTGAGGAAGGAGTACACCTTTCTGGGAAAGGACCCTTGAGCTGTGGCCAAGAGGTGGGCCGGGCCTGGGCGAGGGAGGACGTGTGTGTTCAAGGACGTGAGGGGAGCCCACTATCCTGGACACAGAGAATGAGGGGAGTGGGCCCAAACCAGCCTTGTGTGGTCAGCAGCAGCAGAAAACCCAGGACCTTAGAGGCTTTTTCAAGAAAGGCAGACTTTATCTGGTGGACAGCGGCAGACAGTCTGTGGGTTTCAGGGGGAGTATGATCATCTGATTTCCATGTCAGAATGAACACTCTGGCTGCACTGTGGGAAGTGGACAGAAGATCTGAGAGCAGCCTGGTGGTTTAGGTGGTGATTATAGCAATCCCACAGAGAGGACCCTCTTGGTGCAGGCACGGGAGCGAGAGAGAGAGAGAAAGAGAGAGAGAGAAGAAAGTAACCCTCTCTTTCTCCAAATCTAGTGGAGAGTCTGACACAGGTCCCATGTAGTAGGCAACACATTCCTTAAACTAGGACTTGCAAGCTCCAGTATCTTGAGGGGGCCAGGGTGGAGATAGGGTGGCACACTTATTGGAAGGCAATAGGGATTAGTGGGGACTGTGGAGTGCTGAGGAGTACATGCCCCAGTGCAAACTCCACTCCAGACAGTTGTCCCTGTTTAGAATGGAGACTCAGTGTTGTCAGATCTGAATTTTTTCAAGAGAAGCCAGACATCATTTTTATGCACATGTTCCAATTGCTAAGTATCAGCAACAAATTCCCATTTTTAGACCTAGAGTGGACCAAGCAAAATCTGTCTGTGGGACCAAAGGGACAAGGGGGGAAAATAGATATCAGAACACAGAGTGCTGTGTAGAGAAGTTTGCCATGAGAAGTGCTGAGAACTTCCTTCCAGACACTCAGCCAAGCTGAGCCAACCTTACCGTCGTGAGAGGCTAGGAGAACAGAGATCAAACCTCCCTCTCCTTCCTTTGGTCCCCTGCAAGAGACCAAAGCCAACTGGCACCCAGAGAACTAAGGAGACTTGACGCAGCCTGGGACAGAGAGCAGAAGGAGGGTGGAGAGTGGATCTGGGGAGGAGGTAGAAGGTGGCCCGCACAGCAGGGTAACAGGGGACCGGTGTGAGAGGTAATGTGGGCATAAAGCAGCAGGCTGTGACCCTAGACTGGGGTCAGTGAAGACTCATAGGCCTTTCTCTGGAATCTGTTAGCTAGAGGAAAGTAGAGGAGAGGCGATAAGAGGAGGTTCTAATGGTAGGGACGTGTAGGAGAGATCTCGAACCAGGAAAGACCCTGATACCCTAGGGTATTGGTCTATATAGCTTCTGATTGGCTTTATCAATAAAACACCTTTGAGCACTACTCTAGTATATATGTTTAGACATTGTATGCATGTATTACTAATACACACATTTTAAATACATGTAAGCATAGATGTTAAAAGATAGAATGACAAACATAAATGACAATTCTAATATTGTCTTCCGTCATCCGGTGAATCATGTTGGGCATCCCCTGGGGACTGCAGACCCTACTCTGGAGACCACTCAGGGTCACCAGTGACCCCCAAGTTGCTAAAACAGATAGTCAGTTTTTAGGCTTTATCCCTCCCCCTTGAAACATTTTTTTTATCACTTGGTTTCTAGGGCAACACACACTCCTGACATTTCTCCTAGCTCTTTTTTGTCTTTTTATTACTGACGTGCAGTTGAATATTATGTTATATTGGTTTATGTTACAAATATAAATATGAATATGATGTTATATTCGTTAGGTGGATCCGTAGTGGTTCGAGTCCCACACATGACTTAGCGCTCACCTCCGTAAGGAGTCACCATACGACGTTATTACATCACCACTCACTACATGCCCGTGCTGTGCTTTTCCTCTCCGTGGCTTATTGTATAACTGGAAGTCTGTACCTCTTAATCCTCTTCGCCTCTTTTGCCCATTCCCCCACCCCCTTGCCTCTGGCAACCACCAGTTCATTCTCTGTATTACTTCATTAATTAATTAATTTGTAAAGACTGATTTATTTATTTTGGAGAGAGAGAGAGCATGTGTGCAAGTGGGGGAGGGGGCAGAGGGAGAGGGAAAGAATCTCAAATAGACTCCCTGCTGACCGTGGAGCCCAACGCGGGACTGAACCTCACAGCCCTGAGATCATTACCCTGAGCCAAATCCAGAGTCTGATACTCAACCGACTGAGCTACCCAGGCATCCCATGTTCTCTGCAGTTAAGAATCTGTTTG